GAGACAGAGAGAGAGAGCTACAGAGAGCGGGAGACAGAGAGAGAGAGAGAGAGAGAGGGATATGGCAACAGAGACCCCCACAGAGACAGACTCACACAGAGTGACAAAGAGAGACAGACACAGAGCAACAGAGCGCGAGATGGACATACTGACAAACTCACTGAGACAGCAGGCCGACGTGGTTATGCTTCAATTACAGGGGGGTTTTGGTGAGACAATATCTGGAGTTCTGTGTACAGCACTGGTCACTTTACTTAAGGATATGTGCTGGAAACAGTTCAGAGAAGGTTTATCAGACGAGTACCTGCAATGAGCAGATTGCCTTATGTGGAGAGATTTGGACAGGCTGAGCTGGTATCTACTGGAGTTTACAACAGTAAAGGTGACCTCATTGCACCATATAAAATCCTCAGGGGTCTTTTCTCTTGTGGGAGAATCTAGAATTAGGGGGTCACTGTTTAAAAATAAGGTGTCGTCCGTTTTTACACACATGTAAAAGGAGAAATTTTTTCTCTCAAGAGGGTCATCAATCTTTGGAACTCTCTTCCTCAAAAGGCCATGAAAGCAGAGATTCTGAATGTATTTAAGGCAGAGGTGGAGTGATTCTTGGTAAACAAGAAGGGGTGAAAAGGTTATCAGAGAAATGCGGGATTGGAGAGCTGTGAGATCAGCCATGAATTGATTCAATGGTGGGGCAGATTGGAGGGGCTGAGTGGCCTCCTCCTGCTCCGTTTATACTGCATGTGGGTTATGGAGAGTATGTTGGCTTTTTATTGCACTTATATATGCCAGACTGTTACGTGTAGGTACAACAGTCTCTCCAGGACACAAGAGGGGATATTTCTGCTCACAAGTGAGTTCATCAGCAGGTTAGTGTGTACAAACACAAACAAATTCTCTGTCTCTCTCTCTCTGTGAGTCACAGACACAACCACTAATGAATGGAAACACAGCTCGCTAGTATCTAGGTGACAGGTTGGAAATGCCAGGCTTCCTTGGCTGAAGCTCTCTCACCTTATTTCCTTATTGATGGCCTCTAACTGCTCCTGAAGCATCAGAGCGAGGGTCTGGACATCAGTCTGGCCACTTGGTGAAAGGACATCGGCCGAGCTGAACATCGTCTCGCGGTCGTCATCCTCCATGTCCGAGCCATCCACGTCGCTCTCGAACGCTTGGGCGACATTGGCCAGCACATTTGCCTGTTGGGCACGTTCCCACTCCTGTTCGTTCAATGTCTGTACCTGCTCACAAAGGACAACCTGTTAGCGGGAGACACAGTACTGGGCCCGACTCCCAGGCACATGCAACTTGCACTGGGCCTGGCTCCCAGGCACAGGCAACTCGCACTGGGCCCGACTCCCAGGCACAGGCAACTCGCACTGGGCCCGACTCGCAGGCACAGGCAACTCGCACTGGGCCCGACTCGCAGGCACAGGCAACTCGCACTGGGCCCGACTCCCAGGCACAGGCAACTCGCACTGGGCCCGACTCCCAGGCACAGGCAACTCACACAGGACCCGACTCCCAGGC